TTACATCAGTGTATAGACTACAGCATATCTTACTCTGTACCCCCTGTACCGATTTACATTAGTGGAAAGACGTACAGCATAGCCTACTCTGAGCCGATTTACATTAGTGTATAGTACAGCATATCCTACTTTGTACCGATTTACATTATTGTATAGACGGACAGCATATCCTACTCTGTACTGATTTACATTAGTGTATAGACTACTCTGAACCGACTTACATTAGTGTATACACGTACAGCATATCCTATTCTGTACCGATTTACATTAGGGTATAGTAGTTCAGCATATCCTACTCTGTACCTATTTACTTTAGTGTATAGACGTACAACATTTCCTACTCTGTACCGATTTACACTGGTGTATAGACTACAGCATATCCTTCCCTGTACCGATTTACATTAGTGTACAGACGTACAGCATACCCTACTCTGTACCGATTTACATCAGTGTATAGACTACAGCATATCCTTCCCTGTACCGATTTACATTAGTGTATAGACGTACTGCATATCCTACTCTGTACCTATTTACTTTAGTGTATAGACGTACAACATATCCTACTCTGTACTGATTTACATTATTGTATAGACGTACAGCATATCCTACTCTGTACCTATATACATAAGTGTATAGACGTACAGCATATCCTACTCTGTACCTATATACATAAGTGTATAGACGTACAGCATATCCTACTCTGTCACGATTTTCATTAGTGTATAGACGTACAGCATATCCTACTCAGTATCGATTTACATTAGTTTATAGACGTACAGCATATCCTACTCTGTACCTATTTACATTAGTGTATAGATGTACAGCATATCCTACTCTGTACCGATTTACATTAGTGTATATACGTACAGCATATCCTACTCTGTACCGATTTACATTATTGTATAGACGTACAGCATATCTTACTCTGTACCGATTAACATTAGTGTATAGACGTACAGCATATCCTACTCTGTACCGATTTACTTTAGTGTATAGACGTACAGCATATCCTACTCTGTACCTATTTACATAAGTGTATAGACGTACAGCATATCCTACTCTGTACCGATTTATATTAGTGTATAGACGTACATCATATCCTACTCTGTACCGATTTACATTAGTGTATAGACGTACAGTATATCTTACTCTGTACCGATTTACATTAGTGTATAGACGTACAGCATATCCTACTCTGTACCGATTTACATTAGTGTATAGATGACAGCATATCCTACTCTGTACCGATTTACATAAATGTATAGACGTACAACATATCCTACTCTGTACCGATTTACATTAGTGTATAGACGTACAGCATATCCTACTCTGTACCGATTTACATTAGTGTATAGACGTACAGCATATCCTACTCTGTACCGATTTACATTAGTGTATAGACGTACAGCATATCCTACTCTGTACCGATTTACATTAGTGTATAGACGTACAGCATATCCTACTCTGTACCGATTTACATTAGTGTATAGACGTACAGCATATCCTACTCTGTACCGATTTACATTAGTGTATAGACGTACAGCATATCCTACTCTGTACCGATTTACATTAGTGTATAGACGTACAGCATATCCTACTCTGTACCGATTTACATTAGTGTATAGACGTACAGCATATCCTACTCTGTACCGATTTACATTAGTGTATAGACGTACAGCATATCCTACTCTGTACCGATTTACATTAGTGTATAGACGTACAGCATATCCTACTCTGTACCGATTTACATTAGTGTATAGACGTACAGCATATCCTACTCTGTACCGATTTACATTAGTGTATAGACGTACAGCATATCCTACTCTGTACCGATTTACATTAGTGTATAGACGTACAGCATATCCTACTCTGTACCGATTTACATTAGTGTATAGACGTACAGCATATCCTACTCTGTACCGATTTACATTAGTGTATAGACGTACAGCATATCCTACTCTGTACCGATTTACATTAGTGTATAGACGTACAGCATATCCTACTCTGTACCGATTTACATTAGTGTATAGACGTACAGCATATCCTACTCTGTACCGATTTACATTAGTGTATAGACGTACAGCATATCCTACTCTGTACCGATTTACATTAGTGTATAGACGTACAGCATATCCTACTCTGTACCGATTTACATTAGTGTATAGACGTACAACATATCCTACTCTGTACCGATTTACATTAGTGTATAGACGTACAGCATATCCTACTCTGTACCGATTTACATTAGTGTATAGACGTACAGCATATCCTACTCTGTACCGATTTACATTAGTGTATAGACGTACAGCATATCCTACTCTGTACCGATTTACATTAGTGTATAGACGTACAGCATATCCTACTCTGTACCGATTTACATTAGTGTATAGACGTACAGCATATCCTACTCTGTACCGATTTACATTAGTGTATAGACGTACAGCATATCCTACTCTGTACCGATTTACATTAGTGTATAGACGTACAGCATATCCTACTCTGTACCGATTTACATTAGTGTATAGACGTACAGCATATCCTACTCTGTACCGATTTACATTAGTGTATAGACGTACAGCATATCCTACTCTGTACCGATTTACATTAGTGTATAGACGTACAGCATATCCTACTCTGTACCGATTTACATTAGTGTATAGACGTACAGCATATCCTACTCTGTACCGATTTACATTAGTGTATAGACGTACAGCATATCCTACTCTGTACCGATTTACATTAGTGTATAGACGTACAGCATATCCTACTCTGTACCGATTTACATTAGTGTATAGACGTACAGCATATCCTACTCTGTACCGATTTACATTAGTGTATAGACGTACAGCATATCCTACTCTGTACCGATTTACATTAGTGTATAGACGTACAGCATATCCTACTCTGTACCGATTTACATTAGTGTATAGACGTACAGCATATCCTACTCTGTACCGATTTACATTAGTGTATAGACGTACAGCATATCCTACTCTGTACCGATTTACATTAGTGTATAGACGTACAGCATATCCTACTCTGTACCGATTTACATTAGTGTATAGACGTACAGCATATCCTACTCTGTACCGATTTACATTAGTGTATAGACTTACAGCATATCCTACTCTGTACCGATTTACATTAGTGTATAGACGTACAGCATATCCTACTCTGTACCGATTTACATTAGTGTATAGACGTACAGCATATCCTACTCTGTACCGATTTACATTAGTGTATAGACGTACAGCATATCCTACTCTGTACCGATTTACATTAGTGTATAGACGTACAGCATATCCTACTCTGTACCGATTTACATTAGTGTATAGACGTACAGCATATCCTACTCTGTACCGATTTACATTACTGTATAGACGTACAACATATCCTACTCTGTACCGATTTACATTAGTGTATAGACGTACAGCATATTCTCTTCTGTACCTATTCACATTAGTGTAGATATTCAGCCATTGAACCAGTGAAACACACTCGACGCAACGCCCATTTACTGGTCATCTTGAGTCCCGCCCATATTGTCATAGTGTTAAGTTTAATATCAAATTAGCACACGTTAAAGTAATACTTGGTTATGTTGGTGACTCAAGAAATATATTTACTAGAAAATCTGCGATAAGATGTTGAACTACTCCATTGTTATGTCAAAGCTCCTTCCTAATAATGTTTTCTTTATAAACTATCAGTTCTCGCTAAAAAGAATTTTAAGTAATTAATGGTGGGATTCTTATTGAACTAACGAATCAGAGAATCTTATAATGACACAGAACATGAACTTGGCCTAATCTATTGATATGCTTTGAATAGACCATCATATAATACAACAGGTATAGTAGAGCAGCTAGGTCAGGTTGTAAGCACCACATAGCAGTGAAGCCCGGCATTCAAAAGATAAACTCATTAGAAATAGGAGTAAACAATGACCTACTCGGAAACAAAGATAAAGGTAGAACTTATAGGGGGGAGAGTAAAAATGACAGAAATATACTGTAATTTGAATGGCCACTGTTTGTAGCATTAATACAAAACTGATTCGTCTCTTACAGATACAGGGGATAAATCCAATACACTCGTCAGTGAACGATTGGAGATGGAAAACGGCACTGATCCTCTTTAAGACATAAACAAACGCAGAGTTGTTTGGACTAAATCCCTCGAAGTTTTTATAAAAACCATAAAAGGAAAGTCAAGCCATCAAGGTGAGAAACGACCAACGTACAGAAATTATGGAAACTGCCAAGGGAGTTGTTTGTCTATGTCGAATCAATAAAACATAATAATAACAACGGGTGTGTTAATGTATTTAGTAAATATAAAATGTTCGAGATTTAAGCAAATATAAAGTGTTCGGGTTTTAAGTAAATATAAAGTGTTCGGGTTTTAAGTAAATATAAAGTGTTCGGGTTTTAAGTAAATATCAAGAGTCGCAACGACACACCGTTCAATATATAGTGTTTGGAATTTTAGTAAATATTTAAGGTTCGAGTTTTTATCAAATCCATGGTGTAGTATTTCCTTTAATATAAATAAATAAATATCAAGGGTCGGGATGTTAAATATAAAGAGTTTGAATTTTAGTAAATATTTAAAGATTTTATATTTTTAAATACGTTGTGTATTATTTCCGTTAATATAAATAAATATTAAGGGTCGGGATGTTAAATATGAAGTGTTTGAATTTTAGTAAATATTTAAAGGTAAGAGTTTTAAGTAAAAACATTGTGTATAATTTCCGTGAATATTAACATGTTGAGTGTAAACAGTAAGATATGATTGTTATAGTGATAGTAGTTATATAACAGAAAACTACGTACCAGTTCCTCTGTACTGATGGTGAGATCTCTTGTTTTATCCAGTTGGAATACACTCATTACACCTCTGCAGTAGTCGCCAATAGATGATATCGCGACCAGTGGAACCCTTCAAATAGGAGGGGATTTAACTGTACTCGCTGGGACAACGGATATATAAACAACATGGCAGCGCCAAAACCTTCAGATACGAACTTCCATGTAATGAGTTTGGTAAGAAAAAGGGGGAGCTAGTACACCTATGATAGCAAGCAGACATGTTAAATTGGCCAGATATTGAAAAAGAGGACGAAGCTAAATCGTTACAGTTGTGACGGACTGTCAGCGGCGTACAGAGTATCGTTCGTTACCTTTTATGTAAATGAAATGTCAGAAGGCTTGTTTTGGACGAACAATTTGATTGGAATGTCATTACTAAATGCATTTGATGTGACCTCTATTTTTGTAAGTTATTATTGTTGGCTCAATACAGTGAAGGGGAGGGGGGGGGGGCATAGTGTTTACACATGGCAGATTGTTTTGCCCCCGTATCCTCGCATTCTCTCGCGAGACTTGTGCTGTGCATTAGTAACCCGTGGATGGTCGCGATAACAAGTATCGGAAACCTATCAAACGTCATGGCCATGCAGATGTATGAGAGAAGATGACCCAGAACAGCGATGAACCTCCCAGGTCCCAGACCTTGTCATAGAGAAGATATAAGTACGAGTATCGTTAACCCTGAGGTACACAGCACATTATGTCTGCATAGCTCCCCGACAACCACTTGGCTGTCTACACACGTAGACATTTTTGAGATGTTTGCCATTTTCAGAAGGTCGGCCGATGTAACATATCAGGAAGTAAATATGAACATATGAATCGTCTACAAGTATACCCAAGCCAGCTCTGCTCGTCTACAAGTATACCCCAGCCAGCTCTGCTCGGCTACAAGTATACCCCAGCCAGCTCTGCTCGGCTACAAGTATATCCCAGCCAGCTCTGCTCGTCTACAGGTATACCCAGCCACCTCTGCACTTCTACAAGTATACCCAGCCCGCTCTGCTCGTCTACAAGTATCCCCAAGCCAGCTCTGCTCGTCTACAAGAATACCCAGCCACCTCTGCTCGGCTACAAGTATACCCCAGCCACCTCTGCCCGTCTAAAAGTATCCCCAGCCACCTCTGCTCGGCTACAAGGATAACCCAGCCAGCTCTGCTCGTCTACAAGTATAACCCAGCCAGCTCGGCTCGTCTACAAGTATACCCAGCCACCTCTGCTCGTCTAAAAGTATACCCCAGCCACCTCTGCTCGGCTACAAGTATAACCCAGCCAGCTCTGCTCGTCTACAAGTATACCCAGCCACCTCTGCTCGTCTACAAGTATACCCAGCCAGCTCTGCTCGTCTACAAGTATATCCCAGCCAGCTCTGCTCGTCTACAAGTATACCAAGCCAGCTCTGCTCGTCTACAAGTATACCCCAGCCAGCTCTGCTCGTCTACAAGTATACCCCACCCAGCTGTGCTCGTCTACAAGTATACCCAGCCACCTCTGCTCGTCTACAAGTATACCAAGCCAGCTCTGCTCGTCTAAAAGTATACCTCAGCCACCTCTGCTAGTCTACAAGTATGCCCCAGCCACCTCTGCTCGTCTACAAGTATACCCCAGCCAGCTCTGCTCGTCTACAAGTATACCCAGCCACCTCTGCTCGTCTCCAAGTATACCCCAGCCACCTCTGTTCGGCTACAAGTATATCCAGCCAGCTCTGCTCGTCTACAAGTATATCCAGCCACCTCTGCTGGTCTAAAAGTATACCCCAGCCACCTCTGCTCGTCTAAAAGAATACTCCAGCCACCTCTGCTCGTCTAAAAGTATACCCCAGCCACCTCTGTTCGGCTACAAGTATACCCAGCCAGCTCTGCTCGTCTACAGGTATACCAAGCCAGCTCTGCTCGCCTACAAGTATCCCCCAGCCACCTCGGTTCGGCTACAAGTATATCCAGCCAGCTCTGCTCGTCTACAAGTATACCCCAGCCACCTCTGCTCGTCTACAAGTATACCAAGCCACCTCTGCTCGTCTACAAGTATACCAATTGCAAGTCAGCTCTGCTCGTCTACAAGTATACCCCAGCCAGCTCTGCTCGTCTACAAGTATACCCCGGCCAGCTCTGCTCGTCTACAAGTATACCCCAGCCAGCTCTGCTCGTCTACAAGTATACCCCAGCCAGCTCTGCTCGTCTAAAAGTATACCCAGCCACCTCTGCTCGTCTACAAGTATACCCCAGCCACCTCTGCTCGTCTACAAGTATACCCCAGCCACCTCTGCTTGTCTACAAGTATACCCCAGCCAGCTCTGCTTGTCTACAAGTATACCCAGCCACCTCTGCTCGTCTACAAGTATACCCCAGCCACCTCTGCTCGTCTACAAGTATACCCCAGCCACCTCTGCTTGTCTACAAGTATACCCCAGCCAGCTCTGCTTGTCTACAAGTATACCCAGCCACCTCTGCTCGTCTACAAGTATACCCCAGCCACCTCTGCTCGTCTACAAGTATACCCCAGCCACCTCTGCTTGTCTACAAGTATACCCCAGCCAGCTCTGCTTGTCTACAAGTATACCCAGCCACCTCTGCTCGTCTACAAGTATACCCCAGCCACCTCTGCTCGTCTACAAGTATACCCCAGCCACCTCTGCTTGTCTACAAGTATACCCCAGCCAGCTCTGCTTGTCTACAAGTATACCCAGCCACCTCTGCTCGTCTACAAGTATACCCCAGCCACCTCTGCTCGTCTACAAGTATACCCCAGCCACCTCTGCTTGTCTACAAGTATACCCCAGCCAGCTCTGCTTGTCTACAAGTATACCCCAGCCACCTCTGCTTGTATGCCATGTTTAATTAGCACAATCTGAATAAATGGCTTTTTGTTTCTTAAAGAAAATTTCCCTACATATTTCTTCTGATCCTTATTTATAGTTTACTGTTCAACTATAATATTAAGCATTTATTTCGGAGGACAACTATTGTTTGATCGAGTCATGTACACAGTAAATGCACCTTGAGGTAACTTTTAATCTTAAATTCCTACTACTGTGTATAAAGGACAGCCTTCGAAATGACTTTGTCGTTTCACGTATGTATTAGTGCAGTAATACTTAATATGAAAGAAATAGAACCGATCAATGTAATAGGAGAACGACCTGTTACCTAGTTGCTAGAAAATTGTCATAATTTCGAAATGTCAAAATCCAACATGTCGACTGCGGCCTTCTTGTTTTAATGATCACTCTCAAAATAAACATGCGCAACCAGGGACCAGCGAAAATCTTGATATGTATTTTGAGATAGATATGTCTAGTTCTTTTCGAGAAATAGCAAAAACATACCTAAACTGACAAAATCCAAGATGGCCGCCAGTCAGCCAGTCTGTTGATAAAGGGAAACCTACATATCAATCCCGTACTTCCTGAGAAGTATTGATGACAAACTCCCACTGTTAATATCAAGATGGCCGCCCGACAGCCCTCTTTATCATCCGATCAATCGCAAAAGTTAAAATGCACAATTAAAGACAAAGGGGAACTTATATATTACATTTGAATCAAAGATTCCTACAGTACTTTCTGACAAATAGCGAAAACAAACGTTCACTGTCCAAATCCAAGATGGTAGCTTGTTGACCATTGTATCCGATCAATCTAAAACAAAACATGCGCAACAAGAGACAAAAGAGAACCTACATATGGAATTTGAGAACAATCCCTCTACACTTCCGAGAAATAACGATATCAAGAAGGACGGACGACGGACCACAGACCACGAACGAAAGTCGACTTGAATAGCAAACCATCAGATGATGATGGGCCAAAAACCCAGTGAAGAAGAGATATTTATTATTGCAAAGCTTAGAAACTAATGTTTCTATACTCTCACGCGTCTACTGTACACAAACTAATGTGTCCATACTATCAAGTGTCTACTGTAAACAAACCAATGTATCCATACTATCACGCGTCTACTGTACACAAACTAATGTATCCATATTATCACGTGTCTACTGTACACAAACTAATGTGTCCATACTATCACGTGTCTACTGTACACAAACTAATGTATCCATACTATCACGTGTCTACTGTACACAAACTAATGTATCCATACTATCACGTGTCTACTGTACACAAACTAATGTATCCATA